ACAACATCTGGGTGGTGATTGTGGGCACAGCCTCCCACAACATCTGGGTGGTGATTGTGGGCACAGCCTCCCAGTGCTGCTGCTGCTGTAGTGGGACACAGATGACAGGAGGAGGTGAAGGGGTGAACAGGAGCGAGTAAGGAGAGCAGTTGTAGCGCAGGCCCAGAGCCTGGTCAGGCACTGCAGCCACCTCGTTGCCATGGTAACCACAGCAAGTTTGGAATATTTATGCTGTGTAAGAGGAGTTGGGGTAACCTAAACATAGCCTGGATCACTTGCTTGCATAAGAGCCTCTTGGTGGGCGTTGATACTTTGATTCCTCTGGAAAACGTACCTCATGCTGGTTTATTTTTCCAAACATCAGGGAAAAATGCTGAGAAACTGGGAGTTGTGTAGTCCAGAGAGTGGGATGAGGTAGTGGTGGTGTTTGGGGTTTGTCAGAAAAACTCAGTCCCTTGTTCCACGTGTTCTTTTCCCGATGATTTTTGTTCGGGCACTGGTGGGGGCTTTCCCGGTCGCGGTGCTCACGGGCTGGTTCTCTCCAAGGCAGGGGATGCTGCCTGCTTTTATGACATCAAACTGGGCCGCAGGCGTGTGGAGCACCATGACCACGCCGTGGTGAGCGGGAGACTGGCTGGAGAAAACATGACAGGAGCTGCAAAGCCCTACTGGCACCAGTCCATGTTCTGGTAACAGTCCTTTCCTCTTTGGGGGTTCCTTGTGGTGGCCACATTGCAGGAGCTTGGACAGAATACACCTTGAGAAGTGTCTGTTTCCCAAGGGGAGTGAAAGCACCTCAGCAAACACCTTGTACAGGTTCATGTTCCTAAAGCTCAGGTGGGGGAGGTGTTTGAGCATTTGCTGCTCTGCCCTCACCTCTCTCAAGTGCTTTCCCTTCCTGCAGATCCCAGTTTCTCCCTGAACGAGTCCCATTCTGCAGAGCAAGGAGCAATACAGAACAGCCCTTTCCTCAGAACAGACTGATTTACAGGTTGAATTTAGCAGCAGCTTTTCTGTTATGATTATCTGAAGTTCCCCAGCCCAGTCTGTGGGTCTGAGTATTGCACTTTGCTGAATTGATGTTTTAGTGGCAAAGCATTGCTGCATCCAGGTGTACCTGAAAAGTAGTTTTCCAGAGAGAGGTATCAGGAAAATGGGAAATTTTGCTATATTTTCCTGAAGGTCTTTTTAAAACAAAATTAATGAGAACAGAAAAACAAAACAAAAAAAGCTTCACAAAAAATTAAAATCCAAAAGGCTGTTAGGTCAGCCCAATTAGAAATCCCAGATCCTGTTTACTAACAGGATTTCAAAAATGGGTAAAAGAGTTTCACTTTTTTCAGGGAAATTCCCACAGAAATAGTTCTTTATGACTTGCTGTCACTTACCTGAACTCCTGGTCTGTCCTGCTTGGATTCAGGGCCCAGAGCATTTATCACCTCACTTTTAAACAAGAAACAGAGCCACAGAATCCTTGAGGTTGGGAAAAACTTCAGAGGTCGTCAAGTGCAGCTAAGGACAGAGACAGCCATTTCCCAGGGGTGCTTTCCCTTGGGATGCTCTCAGCCAGGACCAGATACAGGTGAAGGGCTGTGAGTTGCAGCCCCGTGTTTGTTGGCAGGTGTCACACTGTGCCAGCCCTCAAAGACTGACACTGACTTCCCCCGTGCTGAAAAGCTGGGAAATGACAGGAATTCCTCATGTGTGCTCAGGATCCTGATCCTCTTGGAGAGAAGGTTGTGTGGAGACCTCACAGTGTCTTCCAGTGTCTGAAGGGGCTGCAAGGAAGCCAGAGAGGGACTGGAGTGACAGGACAAGGGGGAGTGGCTCCAAACTGACAGAGGGGAAATTTAGGTTCAGTATACAGAAGAAATCCTTCCCTCTGAGGGTGATGAAGCCCTGGCACAGGGTGCCCAGAGGAGCTGTGGCTGCCCCTGGATTCCTGAAAGTGTCCAAGGCCATGCTGGATGGGGCTTGGAGCAATCTGGGATAGGGGAAGGTATCCCTGGCCATGGTAGAAGAGTGAAATGAAATGGGTTTTGAGGTCTCTTCCAACCCAAATCATCCATGATCCCTCCTGAGCTCCAGCTGATCACAGCTGCCATGTTACTGGTGTTGCTTGCATTAACCCCAGTCTGTGCTGGAGGATTCTGGCCGGGGAGGTCATGCTGTGCATAGATTCATGGTTTGTGATGAACCTGTTTCCTCAGCATCCTGGGAAACACTTCAGACACCTGCTACATCCCGGTCCCAAACCACAGCTGCTTTATCAACTATCAGCACCCCAGTTCAGATCCAGGTGCCCGGTTCAAGAAGGTGCTAGGGCAAGGTTTTCTTCTCTTTAGTCTTTTCTAAATGCTCTCAAAAATATTCACTGAATGATTGTCCATGCTGCCAAGCCTGGTGTGGGTAACAGCACTGCCAGAAGCTGGGAAGCCTCCAGCTGCCTCCCAGGGAGCAGGCCTGAAGGATTTCAAAGTTTTGGACAGTGAGCTGGTTTTTCTGCAGCTCATGGCTGTGGGTTTATGTCTTGACTCCTTGTTCCGCCTGTGTGTGCAGAGGAGACTCTGTGTCTCAGTCAGCGTGTCAGTGTCCAGCATTGCCACGCCGTGCTGGAGTAAGGAGTGGAGCACGCATGGATGGGACTGCCTTGGATTTGTCTCACTACTGCTACAAATTACTTTATTCCCTCTTCATTTCCTAGGAGTGATCTGGGCCCCAACGTGGGCTACGAAGCCATTGGCCTCGTGGACAGCAGTTTGCCCACAGTGGGAGTGTTTGCCAAGGCGACAGCGAAGGACACGCCAAAAAGTGCGACAGAACAGTCAGGTAGGGACTGGGGAGCTCCTGCACGTGCTGGTGTGGGGACCACAGAGTCACCCTGACCTCTGAGAGCACGAGGAAACAGCAATCTGCTGTCTCGTTTCTCCACCAAGCTTTAAAGGCTGGCTTTTATATTAAAATGTGATTAAAACATTCCTCCAAGAAGGTATCAGGGAACACCTCTACTGCCGTGCAGACTCTCTCAGGGAAGTTTGATCTTCTCCATGGCAATAAAATTACCTGTTTGGGACAACAGAGAGTCTGGATCCAAGCATGTTTATTTAGTATCCACTGCCTGGAGGAAGCAGACTGTGCTCTCCCTTGCATTTGGGGGTGGAAGTTGGGGATTGTTGGTGTTATGCTACATGTTGGGATTGTTTCATCCTTTTGTTAATGAAACTTAACTTTTGGGGAACACAACTCAAAGGGAAACAACTCGGGCTCCTGCAGAACAGGCTCTTGAATCTGCTCTCATCATCACATGTCCTGCACTGGGTGTGTGACTCCTCCTATTTCTGCCCTAGGGACTGGAATTCGATCTGAGAGTGAAACGGAAGCGGAAGCCTCAGAAGTTCAGATCTCTCAAAGCTCTTCACCAATGCCTCAAGTCCCAAAGCAAGGAGAAGATTACGGCAAAGGTGTCATTTTCTACCTCAGGGATAAAGTCGTGGTGGGAATTGTGTTGTGGAACATCTTCAACAGGATGCCCATTGCTCGGAAGGTCAGTGCAGGGCGAGGATGATGGACAGGGGGTGTGTTAGAGCGGGGCTTTTCTTGTGGAAAAATCAATCTGTCAATTCAAAGTGAGGATAAATAAAGACAGATGCTCTGTCTGATGCAGAGCTGGGCAATATCCAATGGGAGCACTGTTCCAGGTGACTTAGGGGAACTGTCCCTGTGCTTTTTTGAACGTTTGCAAATTTTTTTTCAGAAATAACTCAATCAGGTGTGTGCTCCAAGCCTTGCCTTGGCATGGCTGAAATTCCAGGTCTGTAGTACAGGCTGGAGTCACAGTGACGGCGCAGGAGTGAGGTGTCCCATTTTTGTGCTGCTTTGTCCCATGTCCAAGTGTCTGAAAAAGTCTCAAATGTCACCATCCCAGAAACAGCCACCATATCTGGGCTGCAGCAGCCCTGAGCAGGGGCTTGGTGTGTCCCTACCCCTGTGGCCTTGCCCAGACCTCTCAGCTCAGCTTAGCCAGACCGGGTCAGGTTTTAACACCTTTGAAGAATTTTGGTTGTTTGAACCATGGGAGTGATGCCACACTACCCTTGGATGATGTGTCCCAAGACAAACTATTCATGGTGGAAGTGTTTGTTGATATCTAATCTGAAGATGCAATTGAAACATACTGTTTCTGCCATCCCTGTGGGAGATCCTGCCTTCCTGCTTTCCTCCCTCCCTCCCATCTTCCTTCCTTCCCTCCTTCCCTCAGCAGTCCTTACCCTAAATCCATGGTCTCTTCATCTTGTCTAAAAGTTGCAGGTTCAAGCAAGGTATCCTGGCTCCAAGTCAGGGCCAGGCTTATCTTTGCAGAGCAGAATCACTTTTTAAAATACTTGTTCTCCCTGGCTGTAAAGGGAAACCCAGAAACAAATCCCACAGGGACAGGAGGTTGGTTTTCCTGCTGTTCCTGTAGGCAGGTGATGGTACATTTAAGACTCCCTTGTGAATTTGGGTGTAGAAAGTGCTGTTGTGTTGTGGCTGTCTCAGTCTGGTGCTTCAGAGAGGATCCAAGGAGCTCTTGGCATTGGCTGTGACAGTCCTGCAGCACTGCCTCTCTACAGGATGTGCAGGATTTAATGTGTTCTCCTTCTTCCAGATCATCAAAGACGGGGAGGAGCATGAGGACCTCAACGAAGTAGCAAAGCTCTTCAACATCCACGAAGAATGAACTCCACAGCAGGAACACCTGGAGGGAGTGGGCTGCTGGCTGTGGGCACCCCTGCACCTTGGGCAGCTTCCTGGGAGCACTTGGGAATATTCCACTCACCCAAGCCCAGTGTTTGCACCAATAAAGTCAGATTGTTCTAGTCACCTGCTCCTTCCTGCAACACTGCCTGGCTGGTGAGGAAAGGGGAGCATGCTGCTCCACTGGGGTCAGTTTTCCCTTGTGTGAGCCTTGGAGAAGCCTGCAGAACTGCATCTTTCCTTGCAGGAATTCCCACTGGTGAGCAAACAGGCCTGCAGGCTCTCTGCTTGTTCTCCAGACTGTCAAAACAGACTCGACTTGGGAAAATCAAGTACCAATCAAAATCAGAGCAGGATGATGAGAAGTAAAACAAATCTTAAAAACACTTCTCCTCTCTCCCTCCCTCCTTCTCCTGGGCTCTCCATTCTCCCTCCCATCATCACAAGGAGACAAGGAATGAGTGGCATGGTCAGTTCATCACACGTTGTTTCTGTCCCTGCTCAGGGAGAGGGGTTGTAGTCCTTCCCCTGCTCCAGTGTGGGGTCCCTCCCACAGGAGACAGTGCTCCATGAAGTTCTCCAGTGTGAGTCCTTCCCATGGGCTGCAGTTAAATCTTTTATCCCCAAGATGTCACCACTATCTCCGCTGGGCTCAGCCTTGGCCAGCAGTGGGTGCATCCTGGAGCCGGTGGCATTGGCTCTGTCGGACATGGGGAAAGTTCTGGCAATTTCTCACAGAAGCCACCCCAGTAACCCCATTGCTGCCAAAACCTGGCCATGCAAACCCAACACACCTGACAGCTGCATTGGGTGATGCAGGGCCTCATGGTGCCCTTGGGCCGTTGTGACACTGCAGGTTCTCATGACACCAAGGGGCCATTGTGACACAGCAGGGCCACATCCTCCCCGTGGGGTGTTTAAGGAGCCCCTATGGGGTACCAGCTCAAGCAGAACATCTTGCTGAGGAAGTAGCAGCTTCCCAGGACACCTGTGGAAAAGCCATGGAGGAGCAGAACCCCAGTCCCCAGAGCCCCAAGGAGAGGCACCAGCTGAGAGATGGAGGGAGAGGCCAAGAGGAGGATGGCACCAGGTGTACCAGCACCCTTCCCAGGCAGCTGCCTGCATCCCACACCTCTTCCTCCTCCCGCCCACAGCTGCAGCAGCCTCAGGGCAGCCAGGGCCGGTCCCTGCACCGGCTGACAGTGCTCAGGAGCTCCCAGGGCCGGTCCCTGCACCGGCTGACACTGCCCAGGAGCTCCCAGGGCCAGTCCCTAACCCGGCTGACAGTGCCCAGGAGCTCCCAGGGCCGGTCCCTAACCCGGCTGACACTGCCCCGGAGCTCCCAGGACAGCCAGGGCCGGTCCCTAACCCGGCTGACAGTGCCCAGGAGCTCCCAGGGCCGGTCCCTAACCCGGCTGACACTGCCCAGGAGCTCCCAGGACAGCCAGGGCCGGTCCCTAACCCGGCTGACATTGTCCCGAAGCTCCCAGGGCCGGTCCCTAACCCGGCTGACACCGTCCCAGGGCTCCCAGGGCCGGTCCCCAACCCGGCTGCCATCGCCCTGCAGCTCTCAGGGCCGGTCCCTGCACCGGCTGACAGTGCCCAGGAGCTCCGAGGGCCGGTCCCTGCACCGGCTGCCATCGCCCTGCAGCTCCCAGGGCAGCCAGGCCCCGTCCGTGTCCCGCAGCTCCCAGGGCCGGTCCCTGCCATCGCCCTGCAGCTCGCTGAGCTCGGCGGGTACCGAGAGCCGTCTCAGCCGGGATGAGGGGCACAAGTCCCGCCCTGGTGGCTCCTTGCAGCCGGCCACTGTGGCCAGCAGAGCCGCAGCCCGTGGCCAGCACCGGCGCGTGAGAAGCCGCGGGGCCGCCGGGCCAGAACCGGTGAGGGCCAAGCACAGAGGGCCGGACAGGCCTCCCCTGCCCACAGCCTGCAGGCACGGCAGCTCCTGCGCTCCTGTCCCAGCCGCTGCTGCTGGGGGAAGCCCAGTGACCTCTGCAAACCCCCAACTCTCCTTCCAGGCCTCCACGAGGAAAGCAATTTCTGACCTACAGAGAAAGGCCTCTCACCGTGTGGAACAGGAAACCCAGACTGAGACCTGGGCACAAGAGGCGGATTCAGCTGTTCAATATGCTGAGCAGGAGACACAGACAGATAGTGTGGCAGAAGAGGAGAAAAATTCAGCTGCTCCCCTCTTGGTTGACCAGGAGACAGAAACTGAGACTCCAACACAAGACAAGAATTCAGTTTCTCCTCAAATCACTGACGAGTGGAGACAGACCAAGGCCCACAGCTCTGGCCCCTCCACAGGCACTCACCAGCAGCTGCTCTCCCTGTTCTGCAGGGCATTCTGGTGCTCCCGCAGGGCTGGACAGCCTCGAGCTCCCAGCGCCCTGACGGACCTCAGGGACAGCTGCTGCTCCAGGCAGCCACAACGGCCTGAGCGCAGCACACCGGAGGAGTGGGGATGGACGGCACTGCCGCCCTACTCTTGGCCATGGCTCATTGAGATGAACCAGTTTTAATAAAATATTTCATTTCTCTAATCGTGCCCACCTGCGCCTGGTGTATCAGGAGAAAGTCAGCTGCAGGTGAGGCCCGTGCAGAGTGGGAGAGCCCCTGAACTCCTCCAGCCAAGCAGAGCCTCGGCCTCTGCCAGGCTTCAGGTGGTCCAGCTCCTCTGGTTGACGTCCCTGGTGGCCAGCCCCCAGCTGAACCCTGTCAGCTCACTCCCACCCACCTGCTTCCAAGTGAACATTTTCAGATCATTCATTTGGTGAGTTTTCCCTATGGCTGCACCTCCTTAAGTTCACAAGGAACCTCCCCAGTGTGGGAGCACCTCTCCTCTCTTTTTTTAAGACCTGCCTTGACTGCTCCTGTACCTCTTGGTGGTGTGTGAGCAAAGCTTTCCTCCAGTCCTGCCATCATGGCATTCCTGCAGCGCTGCCCTGAGCTCCCTCTGCTCCCACCCCCCAGCTGCCCCACAGATGGGCTGGGGGGTGCGGGGACCAGACAGGGCTCCCCTGACATCTGTGTTTGGGGATCACTGGGCTTGGCTGCAGTTTTCCCAGCACCAGGGTCAGGCAGGAAGCTGGGAGGAGCAGTGGAGTCTCCCTGTTTTTCCAGCTGCGCAGACACATGGGCCCTGCAGGTCCCACAGGCCACTTCCCCTCTCCCTTCCCTGAGCCACAGACTCAGGCTGACACGCACAGAAATCTGCCTGGACACGAAAAAAAAAGGCAGGAGCCAGGGAGCCTGATGCAGGTTTTTTCTGTACATCAGTGTTTTTGACACCACAGCCTGTTGCTGCATATAATAAAACAGAAATCAGAAAGAGCAACCAGAATACACACCCAAAGGCAAAAAAACCCTTGGCTTAAAGAAGGTGCTGCCGGGCCCTCGGGGGAAAGGCTGGCAGCGGGGCTCCAAGGGGGGAAACGCCTGCCCTGGCTGGGGAGAAACACAACACAAAGAAAAAACGAACCAACAAAAAAAACTCACCCAAGGCTCCCGCTGCGGAGCGGGGAGAGCCAGAAATCCCCCGATTGTCCCGACCTCAGTCCTGTTAGCACCTGTACAATAAAACTGTACCGGCCCCGAGGCAGAGCAGCCCGGCCGCTGCCGCACAGAGCGCTGCTCCCGGGAGCCCGGCGGCTCCTGGCAGGGCACAGAGCCCGCGGCGGGCACAAGCTGCCGGAGCGGGGTCGGGCTGGGGGCCGCGGGCTGCGCCTGCCCGGGCGGCACCGCCGGGCACAGGGAGCAGCAGCACGGATGAGATGGAGGAGGAGCACGGGAGGGGATGGAGCAGTGGGGCTGGCTCCCGGCTGGGGCTGAGCGCTGGCAGCGGGAGCCAGCTCCATAGCCAAAGGGAAGGGCTGTCCCCTGGCTTGTTGCCGGGGAGGGACGGGAACCCCTGGGCCTGGCTGGCCTCGGGGCACGCTGGAGAGGGGCGGGGGGTGGCCTCATCCCACAGCCCGGAGCTCACCATCACAGTGATACAGACTCAGCAAAAACAAAGAAAACATTACAAATTAAATACTAATTAAATAAATACTATGGAAGACAATTGGGAGGGGGAGGGCAAACGGAGAGGCGCAGTTCCGTAGGGTCCGGCGGGGAGGGGCGGCGGCTCCCACCCCTCGCTGAGCCCCGTGCAGGGGGTTCCATCTCCCACCGGAGCCGGACCAGGCGGCGGCGGCAGCGACCGCCGCTGCTCGTGGGCGGGGGACCTCGGGAATGCCTTGGAGGCGAGGGTCCTCCCTCCCCAGCTGGCGGAGACCCTGAGGAGAGGAGGAGCGGCTGCTCAAAGACTCGGGTCCCTGCTGCTGGCGCTGAGAGAGAGCTGCTTCCCCTTGGTCCTTATTATTGCCTCGTGATGCCGGGAGTGGCCTGTCCCCGTCAGCTGCTCCAGGCCTGGTACTCCACCGCCGAGCCCAGCAGCTGCAGCAGCTCGGGCTCGTAGTGCACCAGCTCCACAGTCTCTGCCGTGCCCGGCGCCAGCTCGGGGCTTGCTGGCACCTCCTCCTGTGCCAGCACCTGGCTGAGGGACACCTGGCGCTGGAACTCTGCCCGGGGCAGCGTGGCCACCTCGAAGTGCGGGAAGCGGGCCTGGAATATGCGGGAGGACAGCTTCAGCCGCTTGAGCACATCAGAGAACAGGAACCAGTTGCAGGGCCTGCAAAGATGGCAAGAGCACGGTGGGTTATAGGGGTGGAGGGGGCTGCAGGCACGGTGCCCTCCCCCCTGCCTCCTGGCATGCTGGCCCTCCCCTCTGGCCCTGGCACTGCTCTCCATGTGCTACTTCCCCTCAGGAGCCCACGGACTGTGACTTGATCACGGCCTCACAGGTCACAGCTTTTAAAAAACTCACAGCCAGGCACAGGGACACCATGTGAAAGTCCTGCCTTCAACAAGGTCCTGGCAGCTTCCCTGCCAGGAATAAGCCACATGGTCAGGAAATGGAGCTTCTGGTGTGGTTTATTGCTGGAGGGCATGCGGCATGTGTCCCTCTGCATGGGCAAACACTGGCAGGCACAGAAATTTGCTGCAGAAGAGTGGTGCTTTGGTTGCTGCCTCTTCCAAGTCACCCTTCTGCCCCAGCAACACCCACTGTGTCACGGGGGTGCAGGTGGGAGAGCTGTTCCAGTGCTGGGACTGATTTAGCCATGATGGAAAGGAAACAATCTCAGAGCCATAAGTGTGAGCTGCTGCTGAAGGAACATGGGTAGAACTAACAGGATCAAATGAATGAGAGAGGGGAGCTTCCTGATAGGCACAGCACAGGGGCACCCAGGGCAGCAGGATGTGCCTGGCCATAGAGGGTGGGGGGAGCCCTGATGAGCCTTCCCTACTCCCTGAGAACATTCCAGGCTGTGCCAAGCCAGGCACTGCTTCCCCAGCTTCCCCAGTGCCACAGTCACAACTTCCCTCTGCTGTCCAGAGCAGCTGTGCTTGGAGCTTGAGGCTTGGAGCACCCTGCTCTAATGGAAGGTGTCCCTGCCCATGGCAGGGGGGTGGAATGGAATGAGCTTTAAGGCCCTTCCCAACCCAAACCATTCTGGGATTCTGTGATGATTCTATGAAAAAAACCACCTGAGATACACGAGCAGCTATTAACCCCACTGGAACAACCAACTGCCAGGGCTGCAGCCACCTGTGGTCCTGCTTGGTGCTCCAGGGAAAGGCACTCACCCCCGGGAGACGGACACTTGGAGGTTGTAGCTGGGAAGCAGTGGCTTGTCTGAGAACTCAAACATGAAGTTATCTGCTTCTTGCTCCTCTTCCTCCTGGTCTGAGCTCCCTGGAGGGTTCAGCAGCAGGTCGCAGCCGATGCTGTCCTTCCCCTCTGCAACAGGACAGAGGTTGGCACTGCTCGGTCACACACCAGCCTGTGCTGGCACTCCCTGGCCACTGCCACAACCCCACGGGCACCTGCCCACAACATTCCTGCAGCCATGTGAGAACTGCACCCCTCCTGCTCCCCTCCAGCCCCTCGTCCCAGAGGAACATGGAGCAAGTGCTGGCTGCTCTGCATACACACATTGCTCACTGGCCAGGTGAGGTGGGGAGAACACCCCGAGTCGTGGCAGGAAGCTCAGGTGTGCTCTGGTCCCACAGGTGGGACAGGGCACAGCCTGCACCATCAGCCACCCCACTGGTAGACCCCAGATGCCCTCCAAAATGACCTTGGGCCCTCTCCCATGCCAGCACAGATATCCTCAGCCTGGAAGAGCCTGGAACAGTGAGGAGGGAGGTGGATGTAGAGAGGCTTTGCCTGCACAGGCCCTACCAAGGAAGGCACAGTGAGCACTCTGCTCCTCAAGAGCTTCTCCACCCAGATCCCACCCTCAGAACCTCTGGCAGGTGATCCAGGGGAGCCAGCACCCATCTCAGTGAGGACAGCAAGGCTGTGCCACCAGAGACTAATCCAACCAAGCAACAAGCATGAGGAGAAATGTAAGGTGGATATACAGAAGTTCTTCCCTGTGAGAGTGGTGAGGCCCTGGCACAGGGTTCAGAGAAGCTGTGGCTGTCCCACCCCTGAAGAGTCCAAGACCAGGCTGGATGGGGCTCAGAGCAACCTGGGATAGTGGAAGATGTCCCTGTCCGTGGTAGAAGAGTGGAATAAGATGGTCTTTAAGGTCTTTCCAACTCAAACCAGTGCATGATTTCATGGTTTTGAGAATTTGCCTGGGTGTTCCAGAAGGCATCTGAGTTCCAGCAGGATCTGTGTCCAGAGGGGATGGAGAACAGCAGGCTGGATCCAAAGCCATTTAATAACAGGTAATTTTCCTATTTACCAATCTGAAAAGCTCCTGTTGAAGAGAAGCTTGCTGCCTGGATTTTATTATGAAGAGGTGTGAATAGTCTTAAGTTTGCAGAGTGGTGTTGTCCCACTGAGATAACACAGGACAACTCCAAAAACTTCCAGATAAGACAGTTTAGATTCTACAGAGAGCAGTGAGACCCAGTGTGTCCATAAACAAATAAACCAACCATGCAAAAGTTCAACCCCATACACAAGAGCAAAGGCTGAAAAAAAGAAAATCTTCTGGTGTACTGCACAAGGAAGTTTCACACACCCAGCTGCTCACCCAGCATGAGTGGGATTCCAGCTGAGGAAAACAGTAGATGACAGAGGACACTAGCTCAGGCAGGGTCTTGGGGAAAGCCAGTTATTTCCTAGTGCTGCCAAGGGAAAAAATTCCCTAAGAAACAGGGTGTTGAAATTGTCCAAACGTGCTGTAGAATAGGACAAAAATAAGTGATGTGATTATTGATCCAATGTTGCTGCTGGCAAAGCTCAGATGCCATCACTGAAAAACCTCAGATATCCTGAGCAACTCAGAAAAAAGTAATTAAATGCATTTAATGTGGCAAAAATAGGGCTCACTGTCTATCCTAAAAGCTCAGTCCTGTCCATCTGCCTGTGCAAAGGCTGGGACAAGGACAAGAACATTCTGTACCACTGAGGGAGACAATCAGGCACAACAATGCCTGTCCCAGGTGGAGACAAACCCCGGACTGGGACTTTGTGTCTGGAGCT